GACCGGCAATAGCAGGTTGCTACGACGCAGGATTACGGGTTGGGTGGCTGAGACGAAGTCGCCAGGTCGTAGGAGATTCACCGGTTAACCTGCTAGTTAATGGGCACGGTTAAATGTATCTAATCTCGCATTTAGAGCTTAGTTTTGACATTTTTGGCTCGGCCCAGACCAGGTGTGTGGACCAGGCGCAGCCAGGATTCAATAGGCCCATCTGACATTCTTTTTTGATTAGTATGTAGCACGTGCTTTGCACGTAATGCATATTAAGTAACGATAGGAGCTTAAACATTCGAAGGGTAATTTATTGACATTTATATTAGTTTTTTTCCTCCATGAATTTGCATACTTGTATAACTAATAGATTAATGATTTTTTTCATAAATGGGAGGTAAACTCCGTCGTAGATCTGTTTGTTTCCTCGAAAGAAAAGCAATATAATCTTCTCTCTCAATTATCACCCGTGAAATGTTCTTGACTGTGATACATTTAGGTTAATATAATCAATAGACTGACTTCACGATCAAAATTTTCACTTCCTCTATTTTTTTTTTCTTTTGATTTTTTTAGTGTTTTATTTTTTTTTATTTTTTTTGTGCATTTGTTTCTTTTGATGTCGACGGTGTTGGAAAATTTTGGAGGGAACTAGAATTTTTCCCCCAAAAAACCTATTTCAAATCATCGCAGTAACATCATGAAAAAAAAAGAGAGAAAGGATATTATGGTCTTCACATGTTTTAAACTCTTGGGTTTTGTGTTTTGGGGGCTCGGGGAAATATGGCTTTGCTTTTGGGGTTTTTGGAAGCGTTGAAAAAGTCTTAAGGAATGGGGGCAGAGTACTTGTAAGGAAATTAGGGGCTAGAAGTAATTTTCCTTAAATCATAACCATTCATTAGACAAATCAATGATTTATAATAATGTATCGGTTTTTCCACTACTTTTTTTTTATAGTAAAAAAGATCCAAATTCCAGAAAACCCTCCTTCATTTTTTATGATTATCAGATAACCTTCTGTAACTTTCATCACAAAAAGAAAAATCCAAATACTCGGTATCTGAAACAACCCTTTAAGTTTAAGATTTTATCAGAAAATCTACTAATATGGTACATATCAGAAAACTGTAACTTTTGCGTTGGTAAATAAAAATAGGCAGGGGGCTATTTTTGTCAGTGAAAATTATGTTTAACGCCATTAGGGAGTTTTCTAATGAAATCTCAAACTTAACAGTGTTTTCTGATAACACCTATCTTAAGGAGGTTTTCTAATATTTTGAAAGTTATTATCGGAGGTTATCTGATAATTGTCCAAACTTAAGAGAGTTTTCTGATATTTGGCCTTGATTTTGCTTTGGCTACTACTATCAAGATTTAATAAAGAGCAAGATTTTATAATGTGAGTAACACTAATAACTAATCAGATCGGGATCTATAAAATGGTCACGTGAAAAGGGTGTCACGTAAGTCTGCAAACTATGCGTTCATTATTCATAATACAATGTTTTAACTTCTTATACCACGTACGGCTACACTTTTAACTTGCAAAGGACAACATTATCCCTCTTATTTCTCCATCCAGTCTAAAAACTTTTTGTCAACAATCGTTGTTGAGAAATACCTTCACGTGACAACCATCTATGATCCATCTTATGTAGAGTTTCTAATTTTTGTTACAAAACTGGCATCATAGCTAGTGCGGCATAATTGAAACAGATGGCTTGAAAAATGAAAATATACTGTTTTCGAGATATTTTCAACAATAGAAAATCGATTGGTTTTATAACAAATATGTGTCAGTTCTATATTAGACTCTCAAATATTCATATCTCTAAAATTACACCGCCAAATATAAAGATTTGAGGGTTTAATATATAATTAACAAAGATGCGGGGGTCTAATATGATAAGAACAAGAGGTACAAACAAAGATAAGCATGTAAACCATGCCCACATGTTTCTTTCTCCACTTCCACCCAACGCCATAATTTAAAGCACTAACACTCTCTCTCTCTCTCAAAAAAAAAAAAAAAAAAAAAAAAACGAGCTCCCAAATCCAGACCTCTGGCAACTCCGATCGAGCTCGACCAACTCCGCCTCCCTCCCAACGTCGGACCCCGAGTTCCCTCCCTCCCTTCCTCCTCTGTCAACGTCACCCCTCCAAACTCTCTAGATGATGAACCCACTCTCACCTCCAACCTCCGCAAGCATCATCCCCAACTCAACCCCAAACTCCCCTTCATCTCTCCAACACTACAACTCCATCATTCTCACTCACACCAAACAAAACAACCTCCCTCAAGCCCTCAACTTTTTCAACAACCTCTCATCCCTCAACCTCAAACCAAACCAATTCACCCTCTCAATCCTCCTCAAATCCTCCTCCATCCTCCCAAACCCCTCCCTTTCCTTCCAACTCCATGCCCAAGCCGTTCTCTCCGGGCTCGCCTCTGACCCGGGCATTCGCTCTTCTCTCATTACGGCCTACTCTTCATTTGGCCTCCTACATTGTTCCCGCCGAGTCTTCGATGAAATGGCCTCACTCGACGTTCCCCTGTGGAACTCTGTCATGTCCTCATACACATCTCATGACCGATATGATGAATCCTTCGAGTTGTTACTGAAAATGATCAACGTTGCACGTTTGAAGCCAAATGAGGCTACTTATGTGATCATCATTGGTGCTTGTTCGAGGAGTGGAGAGATTGAGGTTGGGAGAATGGTTCATGCAAGGATGATCAAGGAGAGGATGGTTGATGATGTGAGATTGCGAAATTCGCTTATCACGTTGTATTCGAAATGCGGAGCATTGAGAGAAGCTAGAGAGGTTTTCGATAAGGCTAATTTCATGAATGTTGTATCTTGGAATGCTATGATTGGCGGGTATGAGCAGAATGGGGAATTTGAGCAGGCATTGTGCTTGTTCAGGAGACTAAATGGAGAGATAGTTGTCGTTAAGCCCAATAGGATTACATATTTGAGTGTGTTGAGTGCGGTTTCGTCTGTTTCGAATTTGAAATTTGGGAGGGAAGTTCATTCTCAGGTTATAAGATCAGGGCTCGATTCTTTTACAAGTATAGGGAATTCCTTGATTACTATGTACGGAAAGGTCCGCGATGTGGGAAAAGGGAGGCGTGTATTTGATAGATTACCTGTCAAGGATGTTATCAGTTGGAACTCGATGCTCGCAGGATATGCACAGAATGAACAATGTGAGAGTTGTATCAAATTATTCAGAGAAATGTCATTGATGAGAAACAAACTTGACGATCACACGATTACCATTGTTCTTAGTGCAATATCGTCTGAATTGTCTTCCTGCAAACTGGGCAGAGAGATTCATGGATATATATTGAGGAGATCAGTGTGGAAAGTAATAAATATATCTGTATATAACGCCATCTTAAGTACGTATGCGAAGAGTAATAGATTAAAGGATGCAGAGAAAATCTTCGGGCAGATGGGAGAACGAGATTCCTACTCTTGGAATGCGATGATGGATGGTTATTCAGTGAATGGTTGTTACACTGAAGCTATTGAACTCTTCATATATTTGCTTGACCAAGGCTTGGGATTCGATCATCTGACTCTTTCGATTCTTCTTACAGTCTGTGGGAGATTGGTCTCCATCGAATTAGGGAAGCAGATTCATAGTTTCACTCTGAAGCAACAAAGTAGTCTTTGTAATTCAAGAACCTCTCTCCTATCGATCAACAATGCGTTGATATCCATGTATTCAAAATGTGGCAGCATGGCCGACGCAGATAGGATATTTAGACGGATGAAAAACACAGATGTTTTCACATGGACAGCGATGATTACAGGATATGCACATCAAGGAATGGCGATTGAATCCCTCCACCTCTTTCAGAAAATGAGAAACAATGGCATTCGACCAAATTCAGTCACAATGCTTGGATTGCTTACTGCTTGTGCTCATTCTGGCTTAGTTGAAGAAGGGGCTCATTATTTTGGCTTAATGAGCAAAGAGAACTACGGAGAATCAAGCGTTGAGCATTATGCGTGTATGGTTGATCTCTTCGGACGATCGGGCCAATTTGAAAGAGCTGAAGCTATGATTGCAGCTGGAATCTCTAAATTAGGGCTAAACCAAGGCTCTAGCTTACCATTGTGGAGAGTGTTACTAGGAGCTTGCCATGCTCATAAGCAGCTCGAGACAGGCAAGAGAGCAGCAGCGAAGGTTTTAGAGATTGAGCCTGAGGATGAGACGACTCATGTACTGCTTTCTAATCTCTATGCTTCTTTTGGATTGTGGAGAGAAGCAGTGGAGATAAGAAAGAAGATGAGAGAGAAAGGATTGAAGAAGGAAGCCGGATGTAGCTGGGTGGAGATTGCAAGAAAAAAGCGTGTATTTGTAGCTGGAGATGTTCATCATAGAAATAGAGAGGAGATATACGAGAAGCTCGGAGAGTTGAATGGGAGATGCAAGGAGACTGGATATGTGCCGATGATTGAGCTTGTGCTTCATGATGTTGATGAGGTTCAAAAGGAAGAGATTCTCAGTTGGCATAGCGAGAAGCTAGCTGTTTCTTTCGCTGTATTGAAGGCAGGAAATGCACGAGTTGTTCGGGTGATCAAGAACCTTAGGGTTTGTGGAGATTGTCATAACTGGATGAAATTTGTTTCGAAGATTGAGGATAGGGAGATTGTCTTGAGAGATTCAAGAAGGTTTCACACGTTTAAGGATGGGAAGTGTTCCTGCGGGGATTACTGGTAGCATAAGAAGAAGCACATACTTTGACAGACTATCCACATTATATATGTTTTGAGTTCAACAAACTTTGAATTCAGAAATGATATACATTTCATTCGGTTAGAGATTAGAATCCATCAGGTAAAGGACAGGGGGTGAGGGATTTTTATATTCATGTATATTTTCCCTGCATGATTAAGAGTCGTAAATTAAACGGTACAGAGTAACACCAGCATCTTAAACCGCAGTTTAAACGGTACAGAATAACACTAGCATCTTAAACCGCGGTTTATTTGTGTTCTCACAGAACTTTATTACTGGCATCATAATAAACACACTTCACCGGAAAAGACTCAGCATGATGAAAACTCCTGAATTGATGCAATGACCTGATCAATTGAATCAAACCCGCGTCTTTCCTTGAGAAGCAACTTTGCAAGATTGAGAGCACGGCGCTCACATTGTGCACGCTTGCTAGCATCAGTAATTGATTCAAAATCTTCAACATGTGCTACCCCCACTATTCTCCTGCAATAAAAAAGGGATTTGGCAATTTGTAAATGCCAGATGATGAGGACAAACATTTTAAGTGCAGCAGAATGCATGAATCGTGATGCATATAGTTCAAATTTGTCCCAGAAAACACCAAGAAATAATTTTATCCATTTGAGCATAATAAGCTTTCCCCAGGAACAAAAGGAAATTTTTTGTGGAATGAGATCAACAACAAAAAATTCATGTGTTGTTAACTAAAACATAGTCTACAAACTCTATTTGTCCTGTTAATGGAATAAATTTGACATCAGGAAAGCCAGTTAACATTCAGCCAGATGTCAGTAGCAAAAGAAAAACATAAACATAAGCATGGAGGCATTTTAGCAAGCTATACTTCAGCCAGAACTTAAGGACCTAAATAGATATGAAGAAGAAATCTCTATTTCCTTTCTTAATAAATAAGAAAGTATGACAGGAAATAAAAATAAAAGCTGCAAGTTCCACTAGATGACCGTAAATGGCTTCTAAGATCTCAAAAGTATTAAGGTATTTAAAAATTTTCCAATACATGCAAGGAATACAAACATTTATATACGACAGTTTTCTAAAGTATCGAGCTGGTGCCTACACATTTTATTGAATAAGGTAAAATGTTTTCAAATCAAATGATGTACAAGTAGTGCGCTTAGCAAGAACTTTGGATATCAGCTCCTTTAAGTCATAGTGAACCTCAAATTCTTTAGTCCAATATATCTTTTTCCATGGTTACGCAATTGTAGATAACCCAATTTCACTAGGGTAAAATTTGTCCTAGAAACAATCCAATATGCTTTTAACACTTGCCCATCAGTCAAGGATTTGGGGGGGCGAGGTAACAAGCTAATAACCAATAATAACAGGTAAAATTTTCCCAAATCAAACAAAAATTAGCATAGAAAACAGAAAATAGATATATGTGAGAGAAGAAACCTTATCATTTTGGCAGAGCCAAATCCGAGAGCATCGTGAAACAAATCTTTCATGTACTTCTTTTGGACCAGGAGGTGCAGCTTTGTTGTGTTGTATATTGATGCAAGATAGGCCTCCCCTTTTCCATCCTGGTGTTTGTTCCAAAGTGAAATGAACTTGTTCTCAAAAAGGTTCCAAGTTTCTCTTAGGGTCGTCAAAATCCAATGCTTATATTTCTGCAGAACACATAAAACAACTCAATTCAGAGAGAGTACACAGTTTTGCACCAAAATCACGACCCAGAATTTATGAGAAAAATGGTATACAATAAAATGAAGGGCTGTAGATTAGTGCAATTGACAAAAGCACCACCGATAACATTTATCATACGACATATAATATGAAAATGAATAGTTTTTATGGTACGCACTAGCAAATCAATTTCAGAGAACCATTATGAATTTACCATTTGGTCAAATATATTGTGATCTTGAGGTACAGGAACCATACTTGATTGTATTAATTTATATGGTATGTACCTCGCCAAGAGCCATCTTTACTTAAGGGTCAATAAACCAGGGATAGCACATGGATTAAGGCTTATAGACAGAGACCATTTCTCTAACAACATATCTACTTGCCGATTCACTCAACATGTACCCTGAATTAAGCCAATATTATGGAAACTTTAATAATTACAATCCTAAGTCTAAGTCCATAGCATGCTAAATTCCTCATTTGCGGCAGCATATCGAGTAACTCTTCATGAGTCACATCCTTGAAAGCTGACAATAAGTTATGTTGACCTTAGGAAGAAAGGCAAAAAGGAAGGGGGCCAAAGAAGGGAAACAGCACGAGCTCCATCCTCAAATTACTAACGAACATGAATCAAGTCACAATCAAATTGCTCACTCACACAAAGTCTTAAAATCTAATTATCTTAGAAACATATAGTAGTAAATAACTAAGAATTAGCATAATCGATAGTAAGTTTATAATTAGCATCCTTCAACTATTCCTGTATAAATAAAATGTGCATCGAACAAGACAAAAGTTCGGAGTAAGAAGTGCTACTAAAATGATAGCATGAAAAGTTGCAACCCAACTGTAGAAAAGTGCCTAATACTAGAAAATAACAAAATGTAAACAGAAACAGCACTAAATTTGAAAATCAAGCTTAAAGAATTTTAAGATTAAAAAATTCATGTGTCTTTTCATGAGAAATTTTGGCCCTATAAAACAAGCAAATAAACTATATGTGCACAGATCCACCAAAGACAAGAAGAAACGACATAGAGAAATTCATACATACTTCCCGATCATTCACTTGATCAGCATGTCCATCTTGTGCAAAAAAGGCTAGAATTAAGTTTCCCAGATAGGCTCCTATATCAAACCCCATAGGTCCATAAAAAGCAAATTCGGGATCGATAACCTGGGTGGAGTCAGTAGTCACCATGACAGAACCGGTATGAAGGTCTCCATGAATTAGAGCTTGGGCTCTCTCACAAAACCTGCAAATTAAAAGTTGTGTAAGACAAGTAGGATTCCATGCAACTATCACTACAAAAACAAAGAATCAAGGGAAGTACAATACATGGATTTCAATCCAGCAACCTCGAGCTTCAAAGTATCATCATGACGAATTTCCTCAGCATCATTATCAAGGTAGGGAGAAGTCCAACGATTATATTGAGCATCTCTATATGGATCCGAGAAAACAACCTGCTCAGTGAGTCTACAAAGCTCTACGTTTCCACAAAACTCAGCAACTGCAAATGCATTAAGAAATGTCAGCAAGATGTTGATCTCGTTAAGTTGCACAAAACTAGGAAAAATAAATTTCAGGAGATATTCCCGCTAAACAATTTGCTCATTGTGTAAGCAAAAATAACATTACAATCAGTAATACCACACTCGTAAATTTGAAAAGCAACAAGGCCTACTTAGTGCTGCCAAATTTCTTTCCAGAATGCAAAAAAATATAGAACAATTAAAAAGGATTCAAATAAATTGCAGAATGCAGACAACAAGTCACAGAAGGAAATAAAAATATCAGAACAGCGAAGCTGAAACTGCAGCATATACTTGAACAAGATAAACTTGAATGGCTCTCTAGAGCAAAAGAATAACTTGAACAATTTAATAAAGTTATGAATAAAAAATGTTTCTGACATTATCCTCACCTGAGCCTGCTTATTGATTTTAATTAACTAATTTCATCATTGAAACCTTTTTGAACTGAAATGGGACAGCTATGAGCACATCTTAAGGTTGAGAATGCTTAACAAAAGAACTGACCAAGTCTCTATGAGATTATCAACATGATGTCAATCATTTACAGAGTGGTGATGAAATTCTAGTCAAGATAATCATGACCGAGAAAGGGCCATATGCTAGAGCCTAACCCATATGCTAGAAGCTTGATAGCTAACGGTGGATAAGTTGATCTATCTTCTTTTCCTTGCAGTTAAGCTCATACAACCCAAAGGTAAACCAGTTTTTCCCAGACTAGAAGAGTCTAAATGAAAAGGAAAGATTATATGATTTGATGTTGGGGCATTCAAAGGTAAGGCTCAAAAAATTAAACGGAACTACATTCTCATGAATCAAAAACCCTTCAGCATCATCTGGATGCCTTTATTAGCCATACACTTTATGCTACTGCTCTTTTCCTTTCTTTGTGAATCATGTGAATGCTTCAGATCTTGAAAAAAAGGATCCAAGAGCAGGTTGATCTTCTTGTGGAAAAGAGGGAGGAACATTAGGTAGTGCATGATTATTGTTAACTTCGAAGTCAATTATAATTAACAAATGATCTGGTAAAATGACCAATTCACCAAAGATTAAAGTTGATGACAACATCTATCAATCAATCTCAACATCTCTCAGTTGAGTCCACTGGTGAGCATAGGACAGCTCCAGCCTGCAGAAAGATGACTGTAAGTCGGGGCTCTGACAAGTTTTTTTTTTTAAGAATACAGACGGAACCTCCAGAATGAGGCTCTGGCCACTTCATTACTCAAAATGGACTGGTTATGAAGGGAAAGCCCACACCCTCAGCCCTAGAGTGTGGTCTCTGCTAATCAGGGTAGGTACATCATCGATAATATCCACACCACCACATATGTCCTTAATACAAACCACAGACTAAAGCAAACTTTCCGAAACTTGTGCAACAAAAAGATACAAAACAACAACAGCAACTTTTCTCATTCAATAATACGAGTTTGATATTGATATCATCAAGAAGTTTGATTTATGCATGTGATAGCATATAAATCAAGGCCTCAAGCTCAAACATGTAAAATTGCATTCATTATATTGGATTACTAGGAGAAGATATATAACAAACACATACCTGAACGTTTATGCTCTAATGTCGAACGAAATAAAAGAGACGTGAAGAAGAGTGTGTTTGCCATATAGTCTGACATGTGATCAGCAAGAAGTGGATATTCTACCCCAGCGATCAGTCCTTTTCTCAGAATAATATGTGGAGGCTTTAAGTAGCGCATGGCAATCAAGGACATTGGCCGATCAAAATGGTAAACTTCAGGGACGTGATTAGGACACAGGCGACCATGCTCTTTCAATGCCAGCGCTTCAAAATATGCACGCTCCTTTGTCATTGGCCATGATTCCCCTATACAACGAATGTATGGAAGCGCCTGATTTTGTCATGCAGGTAACATGAGATAATCCTGATTAGTGTCAAACAAGTTGAGGATGTAAAAAATTTCCAAACTAACTAAATGTGATAGGATGCAAGACAAGAATGTAAAAATATAAGAGTTGAGTTGTGCTATTGTTAATAGAATTTATGATGTGGATTCTATACACTCAAATTCAATTTTTGGATTTCTAAATTAAAAATCTATTCCATTGGATGTCATGAACTAATTACAAATAATTTTTTTGATGATTTCAAACGTATTTAGAGCAATTTATCAAGGCGTAAAAAACTACTAATCTTGTCAGAATTCTAAAACGTTGAATTTAACAATGAAAGATGTCTAGTTAAACAAAATCAAAATCATAAAAAAAATGTTTGTCGGTCGTTTATACGTTGTATTTCACATCCAACAGTGTGGAAATTCAATTACCCAAATTTTGAATTTGGGTCTGTTTTATCTGCATCTTGGATGCTATTCAAAAGTAGCACAGCTCAAAGTAAAATACGAAGATTTTCCTAGTGCATCAGCGTATTTATATGCCCTGCAGAAGCAAATAGATTCCTTCAAGACTAATTATAAACAAAAAGACATGTAACGTTAACCATTAAAAAGCATCACATGCAATCAAAATATCATCAAAAGACTTTTACCGCGGACTTCACCAGTTCCTGAAGGTCAACAAGAATCCAATTATACTGTCTCCTACAGAGAAGATTTAGGCATATCGCCCTGACACAGTAAATACTTGGACTTTCTTAAAATCTGGTCCCATGATTTTTCACCACTAGTGGTTATATGATTAACATCACATAATTTCTTACTTAAATCACTTGGGGTTCCCTGGAAACGTCGCAAGTTTTCAACTTGACGCTAAAATCTACTCCCGAACCTAGAACAATCTACCCAAAGACAAATCAATGACAATCCACAACAATATACTGAATTAAATTTACCTGCTTGATGACGAAAGAGCCATTTGGGCCAACAACGATGTACACAAAGTTGAGGTTCCCATCGCCAACTTCTTTAATCGTCAACCCCTCGACCTGATCGCCCAACTGCGAGCAGAGCGCAGGCGTCGCCTTTATGTACTCGATTAGGGATTCCTCGTTCAAAGTCCTGAACCCTTGAGTTCCCATTGCTCTCTACTTCAGACAGCCCCGATTAAAGAGATCAGGGAGCAGAGCGTTCGCTTTTTATGTAGGGTTTCGAGAAGTCCAGAGACCTGAGGATTGAGAGACGAAGACCTAATTTAGAAATCGGTCGAGGGCTCGAATGGGTTCATTGAACCTGGCCGTTGTTCTTCTCGCAATGGCGTGAAAGGTGCCGTCGAATCTGTGTAGATATTTAAACGGGTCGGGCTCAGAATAGGCCGTTAGAGGATTTAGGGGCTGTTTGAATCGGTAAAAGGGAGGAAATCTGTAAAAAATGTGAGTTTTTTTTAACTTTCCCCAAAATCACCTCTTCCCCAAAACGCCTATTAAAGAGGCGTTTTGGGGAGAAAGCTGCCATAATGACAGCTTTCCACCCCCTCCCCGAGGCAAAATACTCAAAACAAACAGCCCCTTATAGAGACGATTTTAGGGAAAAGCTGTTAAAAAACTGATATTTTGACAGTTTTTTCCGTCCTTTCCTTTTCCAAAAACCGGAACCAAACAACCCCTTAGATAAGTAAATAGTAATTTTGGATGGGGAAGGCACCTACGTGTATATTTCATGTGAAGAGCATTTTTGCTCTCTCAAAATTTAATTTTAATGGTATAATGACTCATTGAGTTACGCTTTTTGCGTTGCACGTAATCCGCTGTGCTAATTTTGAGTTAGTGTTTCAATTAAAAAACTTAGGGTTAGAATAGCATTTACGATTCATGTGATTTTCATGCGGAAGGTATGGGCTTAAAATCAAATGTTTCGTGTTTAAGAAGATAATGGTTTCTCTTCCTTACCTTCTTGCTTATAAATTCAAAGTGCATACTTTCATAAATTGTGTGCTTTGTTTTTTTTCCCCCCTTAATTAATTGATTGGTAACTTCTTATTTAACATGTTTTTATGCTAACTGAAAGTCAATGGATGATAAAGAAATTGCTGAGATGTTGGTCGAAATCAAGGTTTCTAGTTCTCTATTTCCAAATAAGAAGCACGAGCAAGTTTGATGTGATTTTGTGGTACTTCTGCTTTAAAATTTAGAATATTTTGATAATGATTTTGTACCCCAATGTGGAATAATTTAATGTAGAAACTTCCTCCTAATTCATTACAATCCAAAATGGCATGTAACCAACTATTGCATAAGTTCAGAACATCAAAATGCATATATTTATATATATACACCAAGAAACAACATGGTTAATTAGCGTCAAGAAAAAAAATGATTACTTCTTAGACGTATACGTTAACCCTGATTCTTTCTCACTCTCAATTCGTAGATATGCTTGAGATAACAAAGCAAGATGGATTAATTTGTCATCTACAAGATTTTTTTTTTAATTAATGATGATGAAGCCCCATTATTCATTAAAAAAAGAAACAACATGGTTAATCTCCAGAAGAAACAATTGTTTCTTACACTGCACATATATGTTAACCCCAATTCTTTCTCGCTCTCTCGATTTCATATATTTCTTCTTCAGTGCTCACTTCGGCTTCTAAATCAATTAGACATAGCTGAAATCAACTAGATTTTAATTTCTTCAATCAATTATACGCATGCGTGAAAGTGGAAAAAAAACAGAAAGGCAAGGAACGTTGAGTGATGTGACGTACGTACATAGCATTATTAAGAGAGAGATCGGTTACAAGTTCTGATTTTGTTAGCAGCTAAGTTTCATTCCAATTCAAAATAAAATAGGACGGCCGTACAACATAGTCATACTATTCATAGATGTGATGAGACACATGTAGAACCGACGAGAAATTTAGTGAAGAACAAGTTTTGGAAGCGCAGGAGAACTGTTTGGGAGCTGCGCGGTTGATCGCGGCGCAAGGCCGGTCGACCGCGAACGTGCACAAGCCAGAGTAGGAGTCTGGATTTGTCGCGGTCGACCGCGAGACCCATAGGCGAATTTGGTCTCTGTCGCTGGATCGCAATCGACCGCGAGCTTTGGGCGGTCAACCGCCAATCAGGTCAGTGTCTGTTTTATGTTTCCTGTTCTTACTGGGTTTGGTGTTTGCTATAAATACCAACATACGAATTATGTTTTCTTTGGCTTTGTTTGGAGATTGGTTGAGGATATTTGGAGCACAGAAAAAGGAGAGTTTTTCTGAGCAATTGTTTGAGGGTTTATTTGGAGAGGAGAGTTTTTCTGAGCAATTGTTTGAGGGTTTATTTGGAGAGATTAAGAGATTTGTTTGTGAGATTAGTTGATTGGTTTGAGATTGTTTGAGGGTTTATTTGGAGAGATTAAGAGATTTGTTTGTGAGATTAGTTGATTGGTTTGAGCGTTTGGTAATCTCAGTTTGTACTCTTCTTCTCTATTAGTGAAAACTCAATCCGCTTTTTGCCCCGTGGACGTAGGTAATTTGCCGAACCACGTAAAACTATTGTGTTTGGATTTGTGCTGTTGTTTTAATTTGTTTGGCCTTTATCTCGACGTTTGTTTGATTTGGTTCCCGAAGCACGATCATTTGGTTGTCCCGCTTCCGCGCCGCGCACAACAATTGGTATCAGAGCTCCAGATTCCAGATCTAGGGTTTTGTCTTGGTTGGAGGAGTAGATCAATTTGGAAGTTCGGCTAGGACTTCGTTTGGTGAGAAAGGTGTGATTTTTTTGGTAAAGACTCTATCTTTTTCAGTTTGGATCTATTCTTCATTTGTTCCGCATTGGTTTATTGGCGCTTGGGCTATTTGGAGGAGTAGATCGCTTTGGAGGCTCTTCGAGGGCTTCGGTTGGAGATAAATGTGGGATTTTTCCTATTTGTGGATCTCGTTGTCGTCGTACGGGGTGAGATCGTTTGGAGACTCTTGTTAGGGTTTCATTTGGAGGTAAAATTCTCTGCTTTATCAGTTTGGATCTATTCTTTATTTGTTTGTGCTTTGAGATAGTTGACCGAGATAGAAGGATTTGAGGCTGAGTTATTTGTTTATTAATATGGTGCATTGGATTATTGAGAAGTGCCATTGACCTGCATATTGAAGTCCTTTGAGCACGTTGGTATGAGCAAGGAGACCGATGTGGAGTTTGGCACTTCTATTCGATGATTAAGGGGTCTTCTATTTGGTGTTCATTCAGGCATTTGGGGGCCTTCTAAGAAAGCATCATTGGGAGGTAATAGGTATGTGGTTTTCACAGTTGGGGATTGTTCTAGGCATTGGTGGGTTGCAACCAAGTCCCGTTGGTGTGAACTTCTAGAAGCCCGCAACAGATTGAGGAAGTGTGTTGGTAGAAAGGTAACCCGACGTTCTGATTATGGTAGGGGTTCTTTCTTGTGTTTGTGCCGAGCTCACAACAATAGGAGACACTTCATTGGTGTGGAAACTTTGAGGCGACATGATGAGATGGCAGATTTGGGGAGTTGTTCCTTTCTGGAGGAGGATAGGCGTTTGATGTCGAGCATTGGTATTGGTGTGCAGGTATGACATGTTTGGGTCATCTTATGCATAGGTTGCCGACTGCTGCTTGTAGAGATTTTGGATCTAGTGGAGCTGTTTCAGATTTTGGGTTGTGTTGGATGTTTGGCTACAACAGTACTTGGTCACATCGAGAATGTGAGATTTGATCCGATTGCGCGTTTGGGATTCAGAGGCTTATTTGATTATCGGTTGGGAGCTTCTGATTTTGTTCTGAGCAGGTATGTCACATTGGACTCTCGACAGGTAGAGAGTGTTGATCAGGTCATCTGGATATCGCAGTAGGTGGAGGGTGATGCTACTCCATGTTGGGTGGAGTTTACTCCACATACTCCAGATCATACTGCATCATTTGGGATTCCAGCTGAGGTGACATAGATTAGGGATCATTTGGATTTGGATGCAGATGATATTGGTGAAGAGTTGCAGACTTTTTTATTTGTTTGAGGGCCTTTGGAGACCGTTTGGGTGAACTACGTGAATGCTTGATTCCTTGGGCAAGAGGATACGTAGGCAGTCCTTATGATGCAGCCGATTTGGTGAGTAGATACTGATGTTTGGGAGAGTGTTCGCACTCCCGTTTAGGTCTCGACTTGTTGTGAATTGAGTCCGTTGTCGTGAATCATTTTACTTCGTACTGGATGCAACAAGTGAGGCATTTGGTTTGGTCGGTGTCGGCTCAGTTTTTAAAAGAAACTTCGCTGAGGTGGAGAATTGTAGAATCGACGAGAAATTTGGTGAAGAACAGGTTTTGGAAGCGCAGGGGAACTATTTGGGAGCTGTGTGGTCGACCACGGCGCAAGGCCGGTCGATCGCGAACGTGCACAAGGCAGAGTAGGAGTCTGGATTTGGCACGGTCGACCGCGAGACCCTATAGGTGAATTTGGTCTCTATCACTGGATAGCAATCGACCGCGAGCTTTGGGAGGTCGACCGTCAATCGGGTCAGGGCCTGTTTTGTGTTTCCTGTTCTTATTGGGTTTAGTGTTTGCTATAAATACCAACATACGAATTAGGGTTTCTTTGGCTTTGTTTGGAGATTGGTCGGGGATATTTGGAGCACAGAAAAAGGAGAGTTTTTCTGAGCAATTGTTTGAGGGTTTATTTGGAGAGATTAAGAGATTTGTTTGTAAGATTAGTTGATTGGTTTGAGCGTTTTGTAATCTCAGTTTGTACTTGTAACGCCCCCACTTTCTAAAATACCCGGGAATCAGAATGTGAACAAGCCCGCAACGTATTAGATTGAGAAGAAATATACACTATCATTTTCTTTTTTTTTTCTTCTCAATCCAACACGCTAAGCGTCTAGAAATAAATACAATACGAAGTCACAAGTCCCCGATCACATATAGTAAGAATATAATGAACAACACAGAACAAAATAATACATATCACAAATAAATATCATCCAAGACATAAAAATACGGTCAAACATGACCTTATACAAGACTAAACAAATGAATGTTGAAGAGATACGAAATATACCGATCAAGCAGGAAAAGGAAATGCTACAAAAGCAAACTGAAAGGAATAACTAAGCATTGGTTTCTTCTTCTGCTTCGTCCGCTAAGCACGTATGTTGAGAATTCTCTGGCTCCTGTTGAACCTGTTCTTCCTCTAAGTTTGGCGTACACCAAATAAAATAGGTATACGTCAGCGTGCATGGCACACGGCAAGATCCCATAAAAGAAAAGAACAAACAAAAACCCAATGCGAAAAACAATACAATAACAGAAATGATAAAGAAACGTGCAACTAGAAATCCAATAAAATCAATC